TCAGTCATTCACTTGAATTCCTGAACGGAAAGGTTTCAGTGGTTAAATATTAGGTTTGATTACCTCAGACTCAGACTGGCACAGTGGAATTTTCTTTCTGCCTGATAAATGTGACAGAGTTAAGATCTGTGCTTGGTTTTTATGACTAGTGGTGTGATAAATTTGTTAAGCACTGTACATTTTAGGCAACACTGACCTCTTCATACATACAGGCTACATATTTACAGAAGTCAAAGCTCATCAAACACAGAGAAACAGAAACCTTCTCAGTACCAGCAAGCAGCTGAACAAAAGGAAAACAATAGGGAGGACAAGAGTCCACAAACAACGAGACAGTTTTGAACGAGACCCGTTCAGGGGACTGACCAGAGGCCAGTAATGGAGTGCCCGGTTTACTGAGGAGGTGGCCAGTCAAGACAGCAGTGATGGAACACTTCTGGTGGATTGACTGGACTCTGGTGATGCAGGCAACTGAAACCATCTGGAGGGTGATGGAAGTGACTCTGAGAGGGCAGAAAGCTCGTGTGTGGGGCTGTTCAGCAATACACACAATCTCACCCTGAGAGCAGGGTCCTCAGTCTTGGTCGAGACACCCAGTGGCTGATAGTCTCTTGGGGGACCATGGGCAGAGCAACAGTATCTTGGAAAGCAAGCGCAGGTCTACAACTGGCAGTCTGTGAGTCAGCTGGCTCAGGAACACAATAAGAGGTTTCTGGGACCCAACCAAAAGACAAAACAAAATGCAGACCCAGACACAGGCTCTAGCTGCAGTGTGTAAAACCGACAACATGAGCCCCACCTTCACCTGGAAGAGATAGCTTGGGGCCCAGTGGTGGCGGGCTCTATATTCTCAGTCCACATTTCCACCAAAAACTAAGCTGTTGAGGAGCACACTGGGGAGCTGGAGAGTTGGACCTCTAAGGCTGGTGAAGAGCCGGCAGGCTAAGGGAATGAAGAAGGGGGATGGCCAGTGAAAAGCTGAGCAAACCCGCACAATCATAGAGGGCTCAGATGAAGACAATCAGGCTCACAGGAGGAAAAAAAGGGTCCTAGTAAACTTCAAATCAAATCTGCTGAAAATAAGTCAACATTTGTTCAACACGTGGGAAGTAACAACATTTTATTTAACATGTCTGTGCTTGTGTTATTTTATAAACAATTTTCCAAATGCTTTGTGGGACAAAAAAAACAAAAACACAAACACCCGCATAGGGTGTTTGGAGGTAGAAAAACACACGCCAAGGCAGAAACCCTCTGTTGTGGATTGTGGATGTGTGGCAGGCAGAGAGTGGACCCAGAATGCAGGACTCACAGATAAAAGTAAACCCAAAATCAAAAGTTTTATTGGCTGGCAAAAGGTAGAACAACCAAAACCTTAATAATAACAGGGCGAGGCAGTGCATGTCAAAAACTAACTTACAAACAGATGGATGGACGCTCTCACGCCATAAAGGAGGACGAAACAAAACACAGAGGGAGACACAGACCTTATATACAGAGGGGGGGGGGGGTTAGGGGGGACTTGGCACACTTGGGGAATACAGCAGAACAGAACTGACACACACAAGACAAGGGATTGTCAAAAGAGGAAGTGGGTAACACACAGAGGCCAGGAATAAGATATATGAACTTGACATTGATAGAAAGGTAAACAAACATAGACTGACTGACTGACTGTGGAAACAAGATGAACTATAGAGACGGGCACAAAAGTAACCAGACAAACCTAGAAACATGACAGGAAAGGTAACAACACATGGAGAAAAGGCTGACTTCCACAGGAGACTGACAACAAGACACAGAGATAAGATGAGGACAAACTAGACACAAAAGGGAACTAAGATCATAAGAGCATGTAGAACAAAACTCAGAAGTAGCAGGGAACAATATAATACTCAAATAACAACAATATATTGAACTAGAGCATGAGTCATCTCAAATCCAATTTCCTGTTAGTGTGTGATCAGAGTCCGGTACTGAGTTCAGAGCAGCAGAGTTAGTTGATGGTGAGCAGCTGAACTCTGTGGATTACTGTGGATCCACTTCCTGATGACTGAAGGCAGCTTTTCCTGCCTCCATCAGTCTGTAGAGGAGGCGGAGTGGAGCTGCTTCTCTCCCCTCACTGACACAACAACAGCTGCTCGAGAGACTCAGAGGTCCACTTGTGTTAAGGAGAAAGCAGGAGATATTATTATTACTATATCTATAATGTTATTATAGATGTAGCTTAGATATAGATTAAACATGTAGGCCTGATTTAAAATACTGTGTCACAAACTGACTTCTTCCAAATAGAAACTCATGTCACTTGTTGCATGTTGTTAATAAAACTGACTGGATAACACTGGTTTTAAAACAGTTTGTTTTGTGAAATGTTATATGATAAACCACATTGCTTGGCTGAACGTTTCGGTGTGCAGCAGACAGGAGGACTTGGGTTTATGTGGGACTTTATGAAGTATTATTTATAACAGATGTAGCACTGATTCAGCATGCATCACAAAGTCGATGCCTGTGCTCCAACAAAGGGTTTTCACAAGGAAAGGTGGCTGGTGCATTAGGTGTTGCATTTCTTATGTAATATTCACTGCATGAGATTGAAGAAAATTTATGTTCAGCCTCTAATCCTTAAACCATTTAAAAATGGCTACATATCGTGAACAACTGAATTAAAATAAGTCAGATGTTAAACTGCAACATGCAAAAATGAAATTTTCAGCTTTTTTTGATGATCAGTACTTTGAAAATACTATTTGTATTAAAATAATACAGATGATGTTGATGCACAATAAAGTATTTATACAATAATATGCTGCATCAATTTCTATCTGTTAAAAAAAGAAGAAAGAAATTCACCTCAGTCAAACTGTAGATTTTATAGATGTTATTTAGCTCTCAGTATTTCAGTTTGAAACAGGGAAAATAGGAAAAAATGCACTTAAATACAGATTACAAATTCAGCTGACAAAGAAATAAAGTTGCTGATATTTGAAGAAAATTAGGATTTTAGATGATGTGAACATGAATGATTTGTGTTTCCTCTGCATATGAAGGTAGAAAGTGTGTGTGAGCTGATGTGAATTCAGCAGCATGGATCAGTGTGAGGACAGAGAGGAGGGAGCCCCTCCCACTAAAAGAGCCAGAGAGAGCCAGACCAAAGCTCAGAGGTGAGGTGACCATCTCTAACTGTCCATGACTCTTCTCAATGTCACAGCTCAGTACTCACATCACTGCTCCATCATTATTCACAGGAAGAAACAAGGAAGTAAATGCAAACATGAACCTGAACCCAGCTGTGTGTCCGTAAAGAGTAACCGTTCTATGAAGGCAGTAGTTGATTTTAAAGACCAGCCTCTGTCTGCTGCAGAGAGGTGAGCTGTTAATAACATGAACTCTTTGAGAGCTGATTTAACTGCTTGATGTTGTTTGATTGTTAAACAAAAAGAAAAAGGTGGGAATGGTTTTAAGCAGGAATAAGATTTCATTATTCATCCAAGAATTAGTTACTTGTTAAGGGAAAAAAATGTTTTTCCCACTCAAAATGTAACATTCAGATTAACAGAATGTTAAGAAAACAACTGTGTCTGACTTTAATTGTGAGATGAGTTATTTCTTACATGAAATAAAGCCATTACTGTTTTTAAGAAATCCCTCAAATAGTTGCTACTCATCAAACTGTTTAATTTCAGTTAAACCATTAGTGATAGGGTTTAAATAGTTTAAATAGTTTCTTGGGAAAGACTGATGAGCTCTACTGTTAAAGGCCAGTCCCACCAAATCATAGAGCCAGATTGAGGCAGGATTTGTATATACAGACTGAGGACCAGAGGGGGAGTCTATGAGATGTGTCCCACTCCTGAAATGCAGATCAATTATCTCCACTCAAAGGAAGTCACTGAGCGAGGAATTTATTTATTCTATAAAACTTATCCAACATGTACATTTAAACTCCTGCTGCTCACAGTAGGACCATCAACAGTCCTGCACAGTGTAAATGACTGTGTTTACCTCTGGGTGGCGCTCTGTTCTTACACTGCTAACACTAGTTTGGAGTTTCCTTCTGCTCATGCTCAGCCTGAAAACCTGTTTCTCTTTGGGATGATGAAGAATTCTAATTCTTCATCAGCTTCTCTGGCTGCAAATGAAAAGAAAAAATTTTCCTCTCCTGCAGGATCAACGAGAGACCTGCTGGACTTGAACCTGGACCCAGCTGTGTGTCCTTAAAGAGTGATCAGTCTAAATATGACCGTATTGATTTTAAAGGACTGCAGTCGTCTGCTGCAGAGAGGTGAGCTGTTAGTAACATAAACCATTTGAGAGGTGATTAACTGCTTGATGTAGTTGGAAATGTTGGATGTTGTCTTTGCTGGACAGATTTTCCTATTTCTGATGTAAGTATAAGATGCCAAGTTTTCGGCTAATAACCCTTTGGGATCCCCTTGTTGGCATGAAAATACCATTTTATATGTTTTTGTGTTTTATGTGTATTTAAAACAAGGTGCTAGTAACAAAATTCTCAGAGATACAAGTTAAAATTGGTTCTTTGTGTAGGCACAACACTTGTTCATCCATTGAGTTTGGCGCCTTTTTTAATAGGTCAGTGTTAAGTAGCCTAACCACCCCCGATGTGTTCAAGGACTGAACTGAGATTTAAAAAGAAAACTCAGAAAGGCCTTCTAAAAGCCAAAGTTATAATAAAGAAGCAAAATAAAAGTTTCCATATCAACTTCCATATCGAGCATCTTGTTACACACATGTACCTACACTGACTGTGAGCTGAGCTAAAACACAGGTGACCTACACTAAATGGTGCACTTGAATGCATTCTTTGTGAACCACAGTTCTGCACTGCCCAGTACACAGCTACTAATGTAGAGCTCTGTGTTAATTGATAGTTTTACAAATATTTCCAGATTCGGCAAAAGAAAACAAACTAAACAAAAAAACAATTGACATGGCTCTTTCTCACTCACAGTGCCTTGTAAAAGTAGTCATACCCTTGAACCTTTCCATATTGTACAAACACAAACTTAAGCATATTTCACTGGGATTTTATGTTGTAGATCAACAGAAATGAATGCGTAAATTAAATCCATTTTTATACAAGTAAAAATCTGAAAAGTGTGCAATGCATACAGGATGTATGCAGCCCCCCATCCCTGAGTCAGTACTTTTATTGAACCACCCTTGATTTGCAGTTAAAGCAAATCAAAGCTACAAAGGCTGTGTCAATAAATCTCTACAAGCTTTGCACACCTGGAGACCATCCATTCTCTCCCGCTTAACCTTCTCAGAGCCTTATCCTTTTTAATGTGTTTTTGTTTTCTGTCAATAACACTGAAAGGTTTGAGCATACTTTTTAGTGTTAATGACAGAAACTAATACTAGGTTGTTTTAATTTCACATCTAGGATGTTAAGTTTTACTTGCATCCTTAGTGTAGTTTATGAGGTAACTTATTTAATTAAAGGTAAAATCTCATAAGGAGGAAAACATCCTGGCTCATACCTGAAGAGAAAGGATTTACTTCAATAAACTTTAAATACCCAAACAAACCATCACAACAGTGCAAACTGACAAAACAAGAACTGAAAACTATGAGAACATAAAAATTCTTAAGCAAGCACTGACAGTTCTTAGTTGTCAGTTCAATTTCGCTGCAGGCAACTGCAAGTGAATAAAATAAAAGGGCTTCATCAATTAGTGAGTTAAAATTACAAACTTATTTTGATGCAAAAAGTCATGGGTACAAGATGAGCCTGATATCAAAATGTACGTAAAAATGACACTTGAGATATATTCTAACCTGTTTTGAGCATCAACTTGTCCCACGTAGTGGTATGGCTGTTTTTAAAATTTACCCAGAATGCATTTCATGAAGTTTTTTTCCAGTTAATTATCAGAAAAACAGGTCAAACATCCAGGATACAAATGCATGTTTCTGCTCCTCTTC